TTAAGACTTAACAACATGTAATTACCAATCATTACGAGGGGTTACTTGCTACGGAGTCGGGGTTAGCCCGAGCATCGGCCTCGGTCATCACATAGACCCCTGTTTGGGCCTTGCCTTGGTTGACGGACATAACACTGCCCGCTATCGCCTCCGCACATCTTCTTCCCATGACGACCCCTTCCCCGGCTTCCGATGCCCCTCCTTTACCCCTCCATGGGCAACTTGGTTTCATATGACCCGTGCTCCCACATTTGAAACACATCGGGGGTTCGTTGCACCTCCTCAAATGTCTCTGAGAGTAATTTGGACACTTAGGTTGTCTTGAAGAGTAAAGCCATGACGTATGCCACTTTGACTTCTTTTTCTTTTTCACCGGTAATGCCGGTGCCTTAAAAGAACCTTCTTCTCCCTGGTTACTCCTCCAAGAATGGACTTGGCTGGCGGTCATATTATGTTGGTATATAGCTCGATCATATCCAGCCTGACGCCAACGTTCTTTTCTTCGCCACCCCTTTTTGTATTGCTCTTGAACCTCCACCGTTTGGTCAAAACGGAAGTCATTCTTCATGCCATTGACGTAATAGTCCCCCCCCCCCCCTCGCATGGGGCCTGCTCATGTCCCATTTCTTGGATATGAGTTTTCCCATTTCCCCCCAGTGTTCGTATTACCCACCGCATTCACGTGACCATCAATCACTGTTCCGTCCGGGCACCCCTCACGACCCCCATGACCTCTTTCTCTCCCCCTAAGCTCTCGCGACACAGCCCGGTTAGCTCCCAAGGAAGCTACCGATGCTTGTCCTCTGGTGTCATTTCTTGTTGTCATATGTTCATCATCCATTTCTGAAAGCAGGTTGGATGAGTCGTTAGACTCCTATCATTGTCAATTGACGGAAAACATTATAGACACATATTGGCCCAAATCACCGCCATACCAATTGTTAAGGGTGCCATCTTAACAACTAGAGACCTTGCAACTTAGGTAACAATAGTCCTATAAACGCCAAAATACAAAGCTCATGGTTTTCGGTGGAACTCTTTTGCAAAATCTCTTGTGAGAGGTTGATTACATAGTTTAGAAAGTGAGATGGCTCTGATACCACTTGAATGTCACGCCCCATACCGCATTTAAGCGCGTGTACAACTGTCGTATGACTAAATGACGTCACTCGCAAGTCAATGTGACTTAATCATACAAGGCGTCCATGAACATAGTCCATCCATACTCCGTAAGTAAACATACATAACAACATCACATATTTGGATTGAACAAATAGCGGAAATATTCAATATTCAATCATGGGCCACACATGGCCAAAACGTGGGCTCGCAGGCTCAAAACAAATGTATTTATTACAAAGTATCCATGAGCATAGTTTATGGTTTTAAATAGTAAAGGAAGCACGAACCACATCTTCCTTTAGATCACTTCACCGAGCAAGGTGAGAATAGCAAGCTTGAGCTTCAGTCTGAAATGGTGCCCCCCCCCCCCCCCCCCCCCCGAAGGGGTCAGTATAAGTACCGAGCGAGTAGCAGGCTAAATGTAGAATAACTAACAATGTGTAGAAATTGCGCTTTTAATATTCCATTGCGCTTCAGTATGTTAGTCCATGGTTTTTACCATGGACTAACATTGATCACTAAAAGAGTTTGAAAATTCCAAAATAGGACTACCATGTTTTTATTCCAAAAGAGTTTGCAGAAATTTAAAATTTTAATATACCAACAAACAATACGGAGTATCAATCCGTGTTATCTAATTTAATTTAATAATATTATAAACTTTTGACAATTATCACACTTTACAGGCCAATTCTAACCGGCCAAATTAAATCCAACCCAGCCCAACACCTTAAAATAAAAGGGGATTTATCACAAATAGACCAAAAAGCAAAAATAATATCAGATTTGTCAGTGTTCAATAATCTTTTCAAAAATAGACTTTTCATTTCACAAATAGACCACTGGAAGAAGAACTCCTCGTAACCCAAACCAGCGAATCTATTCAGCACTTCGGCGAGTCGCAACGAGCCAAAGACGCAAGGTCGCAATCGGCCAGTCGCATTCCAACATCCTTGCACGCCGCTGATCTCCACACGCCGTTGATCCCTGCACGCCGCCGCAGCCCCGCACGCCGTAGCTGCGCCCCCCTTCTGTGTGGCAGTGTGCTTCTCTCAATTTCACTTCTAACCTTGTGGCAGATCTGGCTGATTGGCAGTGTGCTTCTCTCAATTTCACTTCTAACCTTGTGGCAGATCTGGCTGATTGGCAGTGTGCTTCTCTCAATTTCACTTCTAACCTTCCGTATCTCCCTGAATCGGGTCAACCCCCTAGGCATTAGATTTTTCTTATTGATAATTGGATTTGAAGAATAAATATAAAAAAAAGTTTAGTAGTGTCAGAGTACTTAAAGCAAATGCATCTGCAAATGCATCTGCAAATGCATCTGCAAATGCGAGTTTTCTGCTTTCAGGTGATGAAGATACTTGAAGCAAATGCAGGTACACTCACCAATTTTGAGGTGCTTGAGTTTCTAAGATCAAGAGGAGGTGGAAAGGGTGCTGCACGTGTGATGCTCCCAACTTTGGCATCTGAGTTTAAGGTTTTTGATTATTTAGAACAGATTGTTGTGTGGAGTAATTAGACTAGAGAAATTATTGATCAATGTGTAGAAAGATGTCAAAGTTGCGCTTTTAATATATCAAAAGCTGAAATTTGAACATCATCAATATCAGACCAGGTACTCTATCTCAAATTTACCCTATAATAGAGGAATATGATGTTCGGTTTCTGAGAAGTGAGGAAACTGGTGATGAGGAAGAGAGTGAAGAACCTTTGATGGCACTGGTCGAGAGGACTCGAGACAATACAACATGTTTTGTCTGCCCTCCTTCGCCAATGCAGTAGGCTGATGGGGAAGTTGACAAAAAAGTTGATGAAGAGATGGAAACATCTGCCGAGGAAGATTAGTGTAATGAATAGTAGCATACTTTACCCAAGAGATTTGTAGGTGTTATGTGACAAGTTTTCAGTTGGATCGGTTAGGACAATGCAACTTTGTCATTGTATTAATTGAATAATTTTGTAGTTCATCAAGATGTTATATATGCAAGTCTTATATTCGGTACTAAATTTCTCTTGAATGTAAGATAGAGTCATTGGTTGTAGATCTTTTCAAGTAGAGTTTTTTGTGCTAATATGTGTGGTAATGTTTATCATAATATGCGTCCATAAAAAAAAATTGAACTTCACTTTTTGTTTCCTTTTGTGTTTCTTAGAAACGTAATGGTTATCATAATATGCTACTAAAAGTTGTAGAGTTGACAACTTTGATATTTTTTATGCTAATATTTGTGGAGTTCATCAATTACTATTCTTCCCACTTAGTAGTAATGTTTATCATAATATGCCTCCATAAAACATTGTTTCTTTGTGTTTCTTTTTGTTGATAACTTTGATATTTTTTGTTTTTTGTTGTTTCTTCATGTTTCTTTTTGTTTATTCATAAATCCGTATTTATCTTTTTAGGTGTTTGTGTGTGTTTGTATGATTTTCTATTCCAACTGTAAGAAAAATAAATATAAATCTAAATTCCACAATTGATTTACGTTTTTTTTACTTTGTCCATTTTTGATGTATCACTGTTGTACTTCGTATTTCGCACATATGTAGTCATTGTGTCGATATTTTCGGTGGTTAAAATCACCGGAAAAGTGTCGATAATTAGACAGGACTATAAATAATCAATAAATACTAGTCAAGTATCAAAAGTGGAAAAGTAAAATACGTGAACTAAATATGAAATTGACATAATTATAAGATCAAAAGTGAAATTCATTCAAATAAATAAATTTCATTGTGCCTAGATACAAATAACTAATAAATCATTAAATCCTTGAGAGAAATAACTAATAAATCATTAAATCAATAAATTTCATTGTGCCTAGATACAAAAAAAAAACTAATAAAAAGAAAAAGTGAAGAGTTAAAAAAATTGACAGAATAAAGTAAACAAATATGAATTTTTTTAAAAAATTCAAAAATAAATTAAAAAAGATGGAAAATATTTTCAAATATAAACATTTGAAAACAGTATAACAATTCGAGTACAAAAATGTTTAAATAAAAGAATCAAAAATAAAAATATCAATTTTAAACAATAAAAGATGTAGAAAAATATATTAATATATAAAATATTTTGTACTCCTCTAAATCACAAAGCAATTATCATTACTACCATTATATTATTGTTGTTGTTTCGTTTTGTTGCTTTATGTTATTTTTTGTTTATTTTTGTTGATAATTTTTCATATCTTGTTTTTAATTGTTTACTCATGTTTTTTTTGCAAATGCAATTTTTATCAATAAGAATAAGTGTTTAAGTGTTGGTTTTTAATTCGAAAGTCATGAAAATAAATAAAAACTCAAGTGAACAGAAATATTAATAATAAGCACATTTAATAAACAATAATTAATAAAAATTAACAAAAAGCAACAAAAAGCAACACAATACAACAAAAAGAAATACTATAAAACAAAAAGAAACAAAATAGAAAAGCAATAATATAAACATGATGCAATAAAAATGCATTCAGTAAAGAATATCATTTCAACTGACACAAGTATTCATGATCAAAATTACAATTACAAGCTGTAATAAAGTATAAGAAAGTCATAATAAACTCCACCAATAGTAATACAATCCCTCCATCCAATATCCATTAATTTTAAAGACAAAATCTTTTGGGGTTGTTTGTAGCTGCTGGGATTGAAGACCATGAGGGTAATAAACATATGACTTTCACTTTATTCCTTGCATAGCTTGTTTGATTTTCTTCATCGACAATCAATTAATCTGAAATACAAAGAAAGGAATGTCAATAGCAGAGGCTCAAGCCACCAATGGCAAACAACATAAATTATAAAAACAACATTAATCCCTCGGCCACACATCTGGAGCATGAAATTATTTTAAATGCATAAATCTTTCTGCTACAAATCTTTTATCAGAGAAAGTGTTTTTTTTTTATCTGCACAAATCTTTCTTTGATAAAGACAGGACAACCTTAAAGATTATTTATTATTCCTACACCTACTACATACTCAAAGTACAGTAGCACAAATTATTAAATTTTAAGACAGATGAAGTAACCAAAAGAGAAGATGTATGATCATCCTCCCCTTTTCTAATGGTCATCTTCTTGCTTGTAGAAGGACTCATAAGTTTGAACCCTTGTCCTCGATTCCAGTTGTTCCTTTTCTTTCACAAATCCTGTCGTCATTCTGATAAAATCTTCCATGTGCAGATCCTTCCATTCCTCAAAGTCCCACTCCCCGTACAAGTCTGGATCAGCCTCATTATCCCAAACATACGTATAAGCCTGAAACACTTCCGAACTATCCATAAGAGAAACATCAACATTCCTCCTTTCATATTCAACATCCTTGAAGTTATCGAGGATCTCCAACTCGGGAAGAGTGATCCCCCACAGAAGACTTCCATTGACTTTACTTCTTTCTGCTGGTAGAATTGCAGGGTAAACACGTCCCTTGATGTTGAATCTCTGATAATGGTGGAGGGTAGCCGGGGAAGAAGGAGGAACGCGGTTGAGGAGGACCCGGACGACGTCGTCTTCTTGGAGGCTGTTGTACACGAAAACGTTACATGTTGATTGTGCATTCACCATAGCTCGCACCGCACAAAGTCTATTTTCTATGTAACCTCACAACTTTGAGAGAAAGTGTGCTAAATTCGACAGAAGCTTGGACCATAAACGACTCCAATGCTGCACAATGCCTTTTCCGTTCCACACATCTAGGATATGACATTGAAACACAACCTCCTCCAAGCATAAAACCTGAAACCAACTTGAATGTAAGAGTACATTGCACTACTCACACACTAGAAACAGACTTGGAAAAAATAAGCTAGTTTATATTAAAACTATGCTAGATCATCAAATGGTGCATAATTGTATTGAAAACCCAGATAAATATTCAATGAAGAATCAAAATAGAAAAATATAACAATGATCAATAGGTGTTTACTTATCTCTATGACATGAGAGATGATTATTACAAGGTTTAATGATCAACCAATGGCACGTGTGTATGAGAGAACATTATTACAAGGTGTCAACCTTTAAAACCTACAGCAAACAAAAAAATGAGCTATTAATGAATGAAGATGATCTATGGCATATGTATATAGATAAACAAATTACATTTTCTAGAATCCATTCAAACACACATACATGTATAGATTATAATGAATAAGTAAACCGAGAGAGAAAGAGGAGATAAAACCTCAAAGAAGTTTGTTGAGGATGAAATAGAAACATAAGTAATGCAATGAATGTGAACAGAGCCATCCTTAGAGCCAGCGAGAGCTAGGGTTGAATCCAACGACTCCAATGGAATGAAATAGAAACATAAGTAATGTGATGAATATGAACAAAGCCATCCGTAGAGCCAGCGAGAGCTAGGGTTGAATCTGAACTGATTGCCAAGCATTTTGGTCCATCTCTGTGATATGAATTCCAAAAAATAGAATTTAATTTCATCAAAATATGGAAATCTGCTCGGAAAAGAAAATCGGATCTGGAATTACGGGTGTGGAACGAAAAACCTGGCCTTACTCGTAGCCCAAGTGTGGAATGACTCAACAGCCACCGGCGAATAGTCTCGAGTATGAACTTTGCCGTCTCAGTCATAGCGCCGCCCGCCGCTTCGCAGAGCCGCTGCTCGCAGCACGTTCCTCCAGCGCCGCAAGTCTGCAGATAAACGATCTCCACTTCGTCGCGACCTCACTCTCCAGGCGATCTCAATCCGCCTTCCAACTACTCTCCTCGGAATCGGACTGGGGGTGCGTCTCTCTCGTTTACGAATAGGTAGTAGAGGTAGAAGACGAGAAAGATATACATAGTAGGCTATTTTTGAAATAAAAAAACAAAATTGAAAACATAAAAGTTTAAAAGTGAAAAGGAAAAAGTGTTGGGACATTAATGATACACGGACCATAAAAGTAGCCCAAACGGGTAATTTCCACAAAATAAAACCTACCTAACAACCCAAACATAATCCTTCCTATATAAATAACCTTTTACCATCAGCCAAATCGTTTACCCATCAGCCTCCCTCCTTAACTGACCAGCGTTTCTTCTACTTGATACTTCACATTCAGTCCCTGATTATGGCGATTCTCGCCTATAATAAGAAACACTTATTTATTGTTTGTTAACCGAAAGCTTCTCCGTTCGTCAAAATCATCGAGGTAAGTGTGTTTGATATTCGGGGTAGGGTTAGAAAATCGAGGGATGTGATTGACTGTCTCGAGTTTCCTTCTTGTGCTAGCAGCTCGGCCGTTCTGTGACCAGGTCCAAGGTGGAGTCGTATGGCGATTTTATTTCCGGAGCACTGCCCTTGGACGCTCTTTGTACGTTCTCTGCAATACGAATGTTTTTTGTACGCTCTTTATTTGTTTCATCTTGCTCAAGTGATATACTCAAATGTGTTGGTTTACAATCCTGGTCTGCATCATTCCAATTTCCAAGTTTATAAGACTGCTATCCAGTTTCAAACACAAATCCAGGCACTTTATCACAGTTTCAAACACCAAATTCACAATATCTAGTAGTCTGAATTGAAATAGTTTTAAAAGAAAAGCATATCAAAATTAAAGTTTTAAGAAAAACCAGAAGAAATTGTTTTCCATCTGCCTATTTTTCTTTCTACTGCATTTTTGTACTACTATTGTTTGTAAATCATTTCCGTTCTCCTCTGAACGGCATTAAGGGAGCTAGACCCTCTGTTTATTATTAGATGTTGCATTTCAAGTCAAACCAGTCCTCCACTTATGTTACGCATGAATGCAAAAAAGTAACATTACTGTTATAAGTTATGAATCTATAGTATTACCTTTGTTTTACTAACTACTCAGACTTTCCTTTTCATTGATAATTCATAAATTGTTTGCAATCGCCACTCTGAAAAAAAAAACAAAACAAAATTCAGATATTTATTGTTAATTAATATGGATAGGAATATTTATAAAATTTAAAAAATGAAAATAAATGGACATTTTTTGTTTAATTTTTTAATTTTGTTTACCTTTGCAGCCTTGCAGTCGAAAGGATCCATGTAGCTCGGTTGTCCTGGACAAAAATTTTGAGCCCTGCCCTCTAATTGTGGCTGGCATTTCTTGTGCTCACACAACTCTCTCCCTAAGCGCCCATGCATGAAAGTTTACTGTTTTGTTGAATTTCTTGAATTGGCTGTTTGTAAATTTACATGTATCCCTTGAACAATAAGCTGTATCAATTCAAAAATCATAGATCTAAAACAATAAATGTGGGATTTGACTTATCCCTACTTTCTTGGTTACTACGAATAAAGCCTGCACGTTTGACCAATCAATTGTATCAAACCATAAATTAAAAACAAATCTTTGTTAAAAATCCTCCGCAAACTGACTAAAGGAGTGTTTGGGATTGCTTAAAAAAAGCGTTTTTTAGTTTTTGGCTTAAAAAAAGTTGAAAAGAGTGTTTTCAAATGACAGCTTCTGCTTAAATTAATCACTTAAAAGCTAAAAGCTGGAAACAGGTAGAAGGGTGTTTTAAACTGCTTCTCACTTTTTCTATTACACAAAAAGTACTTATTTTACCAAACACTACCAACTTTTACTTTTTCAGAATCACTTTTTTCTCAAACACTACCAACTTTTACTATTAATCAATTTTCCCAAAATCACTTTAAAAAATCACTTTTTTAAAGTTGAAGCAATTGCAAACACTCTGTAAAGCATGTCTATTCATCCTGGCTTTTCCATCATGTACTAGGCATTAAATTTGAATACTATTATCTCAGCCAAAGACATACCCGTTGCCTCAGACCCGACCCAACAATTGATATGGGACTTTAGGCGGGAACTTGCTTGCATTTCCACTCTGGTTTGTATATACTAGATTTTCACCCGTGCGATGCACGGAACAAAATTAAGTAAAATGATATCGTTTTGTTTATATATTATTCTTTTCGTCCTAATATGTAAGACACTTTGCGGTTCACAATGTTTGAGCGACAATAAAACAAATTGATCTTGTCAACACTTAAATTAGTTTTAAAGAAAAAAATTACATATTCAAAAATTATACTCCCTCCGTCCCAAAATGGTTGGCCAAATTTCCTTTTTTGGCCGTCCCAAAAAGGTTGGCCATTTCCATTTAAAGTAAGGAATATGTGGCTAAAGTTAATTCTCTCTCCTCTGCACAAATTTTAACCACACAGTTTTTACTTTATTAATCCACGTGCAAGTCAACATTGGCCAACGATTTTGGGACGGAGGGAGTATTAAAACTGCTACAAAGTCTACAAAAAATAATTCAAATGTCGTAAAATTTTGATATATAGAGTAAAAGATTAAAAGTGATTTATGTTGACCAAGTGAATAGGAAACATCTCTTACAAATTGGGACTGAGCGGAGTATAGTATACAGAGTATTAACTTTAACATCAAATTTTCATTAAATACAATCTGTGATTGTAAGAAAATAGAATATGAGGTATGGTATAATTAAAGTTATAATTACTAAGAGTTTTTACCACCTATAATGTTTTGGAAGAAGATAATATTACTAAGAGTCAAGGTTGTCAAAAGCGCTCGCCTCAGCGCTTAAGCGACCACTTTATTTGCGCCTTGCGCCTCAGGCGCTGGAAGGCCCCTGGTGTTTCAAGTGCGCCTTTCGACTTTGACTACCTTGCTAAGAGTTATTACTGTCTAGAATGTATTGGAAAAAATAAAAATAAACGTTACAAATACCACCTTTGAAATTTGTTATTACCGTCGTTTAAACATTTTGGAATAAAAAATGTCATGTTTATATTATAATACTACCGAGATTCAAAACACAATTGCTAAAACCCCGGATTATTAATAATAAGCAAAGATGTGGGGTATTTATACTAAAACCCCGGATTATCACAGGTGGAATTTCATTGATAAAATTTCATAAGCTAATACAAAGAAATGTGAATTGACATTTCATTGTAGACGATTAAATGTAAAGTTCAAAGGCATAGACGATACGTTAGCTTTTGAAAAAAATTCAACATCCTTTATAAATTGGTCTCTAAAAATTACTCCATCTGTGCCATAAAATGGTTCTCACTTTCTCTTTTGGATTTTTCAGAAGATTGTTCTCATTTTTCTTTTTAGAAAGTTTTTATGTCTAACATTCATTTACCTTTCTCTTACTCAACCACAATTATACATTTCCAATTATTCTGATTTTCTTACATTCTAATTCAAATCAAAGCTGAAAAACATCCTGTCTGAAGTCTGATGCAATACGTGTGCATTTAATGATCTAATCCAAATTAAATGGTTATTTAGCTGCTAAACCATTCCACTAACCTGATCTCTTTCGGCCCGTGTGATAATATTGGCGGGAAATGACATGTTTTTCTCCTCTTTTGTATATAGTTAGAATAGATATAATAATATATAAATATTATATTAATCTATGACATGTTAAATTTTTAAATCAATTCAATAATTTAGCTCAAACAAATAACTCTAGACCAATCCGATGTAGAAAATAAACCTTGTACTAAAAATCAAATTCTCCTGAATAAACAAACTTAAAAAACTTAGTGCTATAGTTTGAGTAACTTTTCTTACACCTTTTCTCTTTTTCATCTTCTTTCCGTAATTTTCTTTTACTCATTGGTCAATGACCAATATTGACCAATGTGATTGATAAGTCCTTCATTCTCTGTATACGGAGAATTTAAAGTGATATCTTGCCCTTATCTCATCAACAAAATGAGTCTCTGAATTGATCTGTCATTCAAGATTTTAAACATTTTGGTAATCAACATGGGTGCTCGGGCCATGTCTTCAGAGATTCCCAAAAAAAAGTAATTTGTTTTATCCCTTTATTCAATTATCGAAATCAAGGAAGTAATATTTTTCATATTTAAAAAATGATAATTTTGGGATTGTTTTCAAAAAACAAATGCTTGCAAAGATGGGCTTTGGGACCGTGTATATATAGGTTAAATTCAAGAATAAATATGCATCTAGATTGTCATTCTTTCATATTTTATACAGAGTATGACACTCAAAAGTATGGTATTTTAAAATATTTTAGACAAATGTATGCATGTATATATTAGTACAGAGAAATCATCTCATCAGGCCGGCCTGACGGGCTGCCCCGTCCGGCCGAGCCCGTTTGGGCACCTTCCCGGTGGAATTTTTTGATGAAATTTTTTGAGCATGTTCCTCATCAAGTCTAGTTTGTCCATACCAAATTTCAGCTCAAAATTCGATCGGGAAGGTCGTCAAATGATTTTTGCAAGTTAACTGGTCCGGAAAATACATATTCCGGACCAGTTAACTTGCAAAAATCATTTGACGACCTTCCCGATCGAATTTTGAGCTGAAATTTGGTATGGACAAACTAGACTTGATGAGGAACATGCTCAAAAAATTTCATCAAAAAATTCCACCGGGAAGGTGCCCAAACGGGCTCGGCCGGACGGGGCAGCCCGTCAGGCCGGCCTGATGAGAAGAGCTCTCTATTAGTACATATATCATATTATCATATACGGACTATGTGTTGTTTTCCATTCTGGCATTCTATCCTTAGTTATTGTATTCCGATTAGGCTCATTGGAATTCAATCTATTTTTAACAAAAATGCAATACATGGAGTAAATTTAATACTAATATTGTTTACAATCATTTTTAATTTATGAAATCCACAAAATATATGTTTTAGAATTTATTACACATACGGAGTAATAAGATATCACCCTTACCAGCCAACAGATGGGAATGAACCCTTCAACCAAGTTATTCTTTCAAAATCATGGTCATAGCAGATGAAATTCCATGTTTTGATTCAAATATATATATAGATATTATTGCTATCAAGAAATAGGAAAAGAAACGATTTACTTTCAATAATAAATCCTTCTTGAAAATGGGAAAAGTCCAAATAGTTTTATCATGATTCAACCACGCCTAAGCCTTCCTTACTGGTCAAAATAGAACCCCTGCATCTCAAATCTCGAAACAATGTTAAACGCATGCCTTGTATTCCAGGAGAAGCTCGCAGCCTAGCAGATGGAGCCTCCTGAAGAGCTAGTGAAGTCATCATCAAAAGTCCTGATGCAGCCATCCCTCAATTCGCTGAGTGTCTCCATCGGGAGTTAGGTTCATCTCAGACCGGCATTTCCCCGCGAAGAAAAAATCAGCCCGACGATCTCGCAGCCCCTTGGATCTGGTTACAGACTTACAGTCCACTGTCCACATGCACCGACCTACCGTCTCCGTCGTTTCCTACCTTGAGGTTTCTCCTTTCAGTCGCCCGGGGACCAGGATTCACCATCGGCAGTGGTGCGGTCACTTCGGCGTAGGGTGGGTGGGTGGGTGGGTGTCACTCAGCCGCCTCTGTTACAGCCTCCGCCGTCGCATTCAGGAGCTAGATCTGTTGGCCGCTTCCATTTGCATGCCTTTTGTGTTGGCAGACGGCACCTGAGTTCAGATTACGATTGCCTCAGTTGGAGTTTCGAGTGTTTGCAGCCGCCTCACCGGATTCGCCAGAACTCTCACAACAGCCACACTCAAAAAATTGGATGTGTATTAAAAGGTTCAAGTCATCATTATAATAAGCACGAGAAACAAAGTGTTAGTTGGCCGATTTTTTTATTGTTTCAAGAGAAAGAAGATTCGGATGTTGACTCTGACACAGTTTGGCCTTTCACGTTATCCCAATGTCCAATAAAGTTATTGTGCAGACATTAAATGTGCATTTAGCGTGCTTTTCTAAACCGGATCCGACCCACATTTTTTATGGTAGTTTAGGCGGGAAAAATGGCCTTCTTTCCACCTCTTTTTATATAGAGTAAGATATAGAGATAGAGATTATTTGTGTAATTTCATATTATCTCGACATTCTTTCACATATTTTTGCCAAACAGTCTACTTCATCCAGCTACCTGTTCAGATCCAGCACTTCACAATTTAGTTTCAAACAATAATCTTTAATTAAACATTACAATGAAAAAAATCATATTGCAACTTCATATCCCAACTTTCTTAACTTTCTTATTTTTATAGCAATATTAGTTGAGGAGAAAGAATAGCATTTTCACACCGATTCAACACAGAAGGTTATTCCATGTTTGCCCCAATTAATAAAATGTAAGGATCAATGCTAGATATAATTAGATAACCTGTAATAATATATAAAGTCACTATTTATTTATAAAGATTGTTAAGATGTATATCATATATATTTAGTACTACAAAAAACAGATT